GGGGGAGACAGACAGACAGGGGGAGACAGAGACACATACAGAGGCAGACAGACAGACAGAGGCAGACAGGGGGAGACAGAGACACAGACAGACAGACAGAGACAGACAGGGGGAGACAGAGACACAGACAGACAGAGACAGACAGGGGGTGACTGAGACACATACAGAGACAAACAGAGACAGACAGGGGGAGACGGACAGACAGGGGGAGACAGAGACACGTACAGAGGCAGACAAGAGACACATACAGAGACAGACAGAGACAGACAGGGGGAGACAGACAGGGGGAGACAGAGACATACAGAGGCAGACAGACAGACAGAGGCAGACAGGGGGAGACAGAGACACAGACAGACGGAGACAGACAGGGGGAGACAGACAAATACAGAGACACATACAGACAGACAGAGGCAGACAGGGGGAGACAGACACATACAGAGACACATACAGACAGACAGGGGGAGACAGGGACACAGAGACAGACGGAGACAGACAGGGGGAGACAGACACATACAGAGACACATACAGACAGACAGAGGCAGACAGGAGGAGACAGAGACACATACAGAGACAGACAGAGACACATACAGAGACAGACAGGGGGAGACAGACACATACAGAGACAGACAGACACATACAGAGACAGACAGAGACACATACAGAGACAGACAGGGGGAGACAGACACATACAGAGACACAAACAGACAGACAGAGACAGACATACAGAGGCAGACAGGGGGAGACAGAGACACATACAGAGACAGACAGAGACACATACAGAGACAGACAGAGACACATACAGAGGCAGACAGAGACAGACAGGGGGAGACACATACAGAGGCAGACAGACAGACAGGGGGAGACAGACAGTCAGAGACAGAGACAGACAGTCAGAGACAGACAGAGACAGACAGGGGGAGACAGAGGCACATACAGAGGCAGACAGAGACAGACAGACAGACAGGGGGAGACAGACACAGAGACAGACAGACAGGGACACATAGAGAGGCAAACAGACAGGGACACATAAAGAGACACACAGAGGCAGACATAGACAGGCAGACAGGGGGAGACAGAGACACATACAGAGATGTGGGGGTTACAGAGGCCACCGCCTTCCCCCCATCTCTCTCATCCCTGACTCCTGATGTCGCTCTGGCGGTAACGCCACCACCACCACTCATCCGCCTACTTCCTCGCGGTCTCTCCCCACCAAGGGGCCATCCATTTAGTACGCACGCAAAAATCTGTTAAAACTTGACCCCTCACTGTTTTTTTACGATCAGAGGAAAAAATAATTAATCTTCTTGGTTCTTTCGGTAAAGTCACGTAGAAGGGAAATAATAAAATAATTAATATAAAACAATAAAATACAATACAAATACAAAGGAAACAGCTCGGTGTAGTCGGCACTTTGCCTTGTTCATCATTTAGTTTTTTTTGTCAATGCTTTACTTTATGTGCCCCCCCCCCGCCCTTTTTAAATGAAAGATTTCACAAAAGATGTTACGCTCTGCTCTCCTCCTTCTCACCCCTTCTCTTTCTCTACCCCCCCTCTCTCTCTACCCCTTCTCTCCCTCTATGTCTATGTTCCCCCTATTTCCTATGTAATCTTTTTTTCCGACAAGTGCTGCATCTGCACCCAGCCCTTCTCGCAGTCCTATGGCCTCCTACGGTAGCTCATACTGCATGCAGAGCTCTCCGTCTTCTGGCACCGAGCACACGGCAGAGGTCGCAATCGGGTACCCGATACCGTACCCTACCCGATACCCGGCTACCCGTACCCGGCCGGGTACGGGTACGGGTAGCCGTTTGCGACCCTGGTGCGGCCGGGTACGGGTACGGGTAGGCCGTGAAACACTGGTGAGTAACCGTTTGTCACTCATTTCGGGTAGGGTACGGGTAGGGAACGGGTACCCGTACCCGGCCGGGTACGGGTACCCATTTGCGACCCTGGTGCGGCCGGGTAGGGTATGGAATCAAAACCCGTTTGCGACCTCTGGCACACGGCCTCCTCCAGCGCCCACTGCTCCTTGAAGGCCGGCACGGCGTGGGATAGCCGTGACCCTTCTCCCGCTCCCTCAGAGGTCGCAATCGAGTAACCGATACCCGTATCCTACCCGATACCCGGCTACCCGTACGCGGCCGGGTACGGGTACCCGTTTGCGACCCTGGTGCGGCCGGGTACGGGTACGGGTAGGTCGTGAGTCACTGGTGAGTCACCGTTTGTCACTCATTTCCCAACGTCTTGTCTCTTCTCACAATTCAAGTTCCTAGAATCAACCCACCTGCGCCTGCAACATGGCTTCATCCCAGAGGTCGCAATCGGGTAGCTGATACCCGTACCCTACCCGATACCCGGCCGGGTACGGGTAGCCGGGTATCGGGTAGGGTACGGGTACCCGATTGCGACCCTGGTGTGGCTGGGTACGGGTACGGGTAAGGAATCAAAACCCGTTTGCGACCTCTGCCACTGCTCCTTGAGGGCCGGCATGGCGTGGGTTAGCCGTGACCCCTCTCCCCCTCCCTGTACGCACGCGTACTTTTTACACCCCCCCCCACCACCTTCGTACGTACGCCTGACGCACCCCTCCCCCCCTCCGGAATCCTATAGAACGGCCGATATTTAATCCACGCAGAAACGATCAAGGATGAACCATTAACGTATTCTTTGGGTCTTTCGGTAAAGCCACGTAGACAGAAAAAAATTACAAAAAATATCGACGTTTCGATCGCAACACAAGCGGTCGTCGTGTTTAAGCAAACAGTCCGCCGCCGGACTAACTAATTTGAAGACCAATGTCGACAAATTATTATTGAGGCTTCACCTTACCCCCCCGTTCCCTATGCGTACGTACATTGTCAGTAGACCCCCCCCATACGCAAGCGTACGCATTTGGGTTAACCCCCCCCCCCCCACCTCCATGCGTACGTACGAGATGGATGGCCCCGAAGGGTTCGTTTGACCATACGTCAGAAATCTGGGCCGCAGGTGGAGAAATCCGATGAACTGTGAAGCTCTTTGTCGTAGACTGTCCGGCAGGGGGCGTATGAGCCGATTCTGAACGACCTGCAACAACTTTATCCTCCTTGTCGTGTGGCTGATGTAGATTTTACGAGCAACGACTATTTAGAAGTCCGCATTCGGGTGGTCAAGCGACGGATGACCGCGTCGTCAGGAGCAGTTAGCAGAGTAGTATTATCAAGATTTCTCCAGGACTCTGGCTATCAGCCTGATGATGCTGGTTGTAATTACCGTCGAAAAGTCACGGTGCTCAGATTGTAAATGTGCGTAGTGGGATTACTCTCCGACGCACAACCGGTGAGTGCTGAACTAGTATACTACACTATACGCGACACAATTCACTACACTATAATTGTAAATGTGTGTGGTGGGTTTACTCTCCAACACAACCGGCGATAGCTGAACTCGTATACTACATTCTAGATTTGAAGCTTTCGTGACTGCAAGGATTCATATTCTTAGGTTTTTTCGGTAAAGTCACGTAGGTAAAAAATGTAAATTAATAAAAGTAAACTACACTATACACTACACTATAATTGTAAATGTGTGTAGTGGGTTTACTCTCCAACACACAACTGGTTAGTTATGAACTCGTTAACTAATTGGCCACGTTTTGTTTACGTAACAAACCCCTTACTGATTGGGTGGTGACGGGTTTAACGACACGTTTATATTTACGCTATCTAATCCCCAAAAAAATCTTCTTACATATCATCGCTGTGATTTCTCCTTCGTATTGATTCTTCGTTACACGCTGTACAGCCTCTGTTCTGGCTGACCACAGTCGCCACGGCACTACTGGAGAGTTTTTAATTTCTCCATTTGTGCCATCATCAGGTAGGATCATCCGCATCTACTGCTGCTGCCACTCGGGTTTGTGCAGTGGGATGATGCGGTTTAGGGGGTGGACCATGAGCAGCTTCGTGGAAGATCAAAACCCTAGGGGGAATCTCCTGCATAGGATCAACTCAACCAAAAAGCTATATTTTATCTCCTCGGATACCCAAAACAGCTGCTCGTCCCATGAGGCATTTAAACTGGAATTTAACCACCATCCTGTGAGCCACATTCATTTCCCTAGCAATAAAAACTTTTGGGCTTCCAATTAAATTACGGGGACAATTTAAAGTATTGCTGCTTTCAGATGCGCTGCTTCCGTGGCCATCTGGAACGCTCTTCTGATATTACGAAGTCACTGGACCTATGCACTTTTACATTCATCATCTAGATTGACAAACGTATTTCTTTAGAACTGCTTGTTGTTGTGTTTATTTTGTCGTCCTTCCCCCGCATCTCCGGTAAGCGCAGTTGGCTACGTGCGCTGTGAAATAAGTTCAAATGACACACGTAGGTTAGCTGACAAAATATGTGTGACTCTTTCATGCATCTTAGGTACCATAATTATAAAAAATAACCTCTCTGATAGCCATTGTACAGGCTAATATACATCGTTTAAACCTTTCCACAATACAGATTTCTTTTGGGTTCGATCAGGTAGATATAAATATTAAACCCGCCACCACTTGACAAGCAATCAGTAAGGTTTGCCACGTTAGCAAAACGTGGCCAATTTGTTACTAGTTCAGAACACCATAATAAAACCGCTATTGTCGGTAACATTGGTCGCGAAAACCAGCGTGTTAAACTCTGGCTGTCGCCTGATGAGGCTGATCGTAATTACTGGCGAAATGTCGTACTCGAATTGTAAATGTTGTGGGTTTACTCTCCAACACACCGGTGTTCTGAACAAGGAGAAATTGGCATGTTTTGTTTACGTGACAAACCTTACTAATTGCCTGTATTGGGTGGTGGTGGGTTTAGTGACACATTTATATTTACGCAATCTAACCCTAAAAAAAATCTCATGGTTAAAATGATTAAACCTTTCGCACACAGAACACTGACAAAAGGGCTGTGTGCTGTAAGCACAAGCCGTCACCGCCACGTTCGTAACCGTTCGTCATCGTTAGGTTCATAACCGCTTGTCCACATGCAGGAGAAGATGACCGCAGCCGACGAGACGAAGCTGTCGTTCGTGGCAGGCGACTGGTTGACGATGGCCCAGTCCGGTCCGGAGACGGCACCGCGGCCATTGCTACCGCAGCAGCCGGATCCGGCGCCGGTGCTGCTGCGGTGCGACCGGTGCCCGTACTCTGCGCCGGACGCCGGCTTCCTAGAGGTCCACCTGCGGGCCCACTCGCTGGAGCGGCCATACGCATGCTCCGAGTGCGGCAAGGGGTTCGCGCTCGCCACCCACCTGCGCAACCACCAGCGGACGCACACGGGTGAGCGGCCGCACGCCTGCGACGAGTGCGGCCGGCGGTTCGCGTGGACCGGCGGCCTACGGCGGCACCAGCTGGTACACACGGGTGAGCGGCCGCATGCGTGCGACGAGTGCGGCAAGGCGTTCGCTCGCTCGGCCCATCTCCAGAACCACCGTAGGACCCACACGGGCGCGAAGCCGCACGCCTGCACGGAGTGCGGCAAGGCCTTCACGTGGCCCGGCGCGCTGCTGCGCCACGGGAGGACGCACACGGGTGAGAGGCCGTACGTGTGCACCGTGTGCGAGAGGGCCTTCGCGCAGTCCGATCACCTGCGCAACCACCAGCGGACGCACACGAGTGAGAGGCCGCACACCTGCGACGAGTGCGGCAAGGCCTTCTCCTGGCTCGGGGCGCTGCAGCGCCACCAGCGGATACACTCGCGGGATGGGAAAGGAAGGGCCGAGCTGGCGGGGGAGGCCGTGGGGACAGGTGATCACCGCACTGGTGCCGCTGTTCCTCCTGTTCCTCCTGTTCCTCCATCGGAGCAGGAGAATGGAGGAAGAGGATAAGGAGGAGGAGGATGAGTGACGTGGGGATGAAACCGCTCCAATCCCCACGGCTGAGTCACAGCGATTAGACAACTCCTCCCTGAGCGGACGCATCCTTGAATCGTTCCGATGCAGCGTCGCGACTCATTTGAATACGTCGCGTCTCGTTTGCAAGGATTGGTTAAATTAGTTAGGTTTTTGTTTGCCGTTTTGTTTGTGTTATCTGCCCTCTTCTGTACTTCGGCAGTACAGTTTTGTTAAGTTCTTGTGTGTTTTGTTGTTACATTTGCCTTGCCGTTGGACTATCATGGTCGCGCCAAGAGTGGAAATCTGCGATTTGCATATCATTTGCATATAACCGATGTTCGCACGCACGGTTCAATGCTTTTTACGTGAGTGTAGGAATATATTTATAATGTTGCAATTACATTTTCGTGACCATAGTTGAGTTGTAAATACCAAGATTGAATAGGGGACTGTTATAACTGTGCCTCATCTAGGTCGACTCAGCCTCAAATGAGTACCTGGTGCGGTGTGTAGTAAACATTGCCACTGGGGAGACAGGAGGCCAACGGGCGTGGTGCTGGTCACCTACCTCCTCGTGTGCCATGGTCGGCCTTCATACGTTCAACTCGCTAATAAAACTTGCTCCAAGAGTTTATTAAGGCTATACAGGGGGGTCTTTGTAATAATGGTTATGGATGGGGCTTTGGTTAGAGTCCTAGTAGGCTAGTTTGGTTAGGGTTATAAGTCGGGTTTGGGTTGGGTTAACTGCGATGTGTTGCATCTTACTCCTTTCCTAATCCCTAATCACGTCGGTTGAATAATGCACGTGCGGCGTTATATGTTTGCTGCTTGTCACAGAGGAGTTGCAGTTCCAGGCCAGACGCCAACCTGGTTAATATTTCTGGTGTGTCATAACCATAAAACTCGAACGCTGTCTACTTCCACAGTGGGCGTTAAAAGATCCCATGATTTTATTCAACAACAGAGCAGGCCATGTGTGCTGGGAGTCGCGGTCCAAATTTGCCAAATGTGATCAATAACCCACAAATTACTTATTTGGCTAAAACCAATAGACACATCGCCCCGAATGGTAGACCCATGCTCACTTGCAGGCTGGTGCTGCATTTACAGGGACAGCTGCCATCGTGTGTGTTGACCTTTCGCACTGTACGTAGCCAACCGTGCTAATCGGAGGTGATTTAAAAGTGTTTAGTTCCCAGTGGCGTCTTAATATTGGAAGGAAGAGTGTTGCAGGTGATTCTCCTCTACTCCTCTAGGCTACATCGTTGCAGGGCATTGGAATGGTTGAGATAAGCCGTGACGTAAGACGCTTAGAGTTGCCAAGACTTTTTTCAGCGCCAAATAAATAGGAATCCGTATCTCTGCAACCTTAATGTATGAAACACTTGAATAAAAACACTGCACACAGTTTTTGAATAGCATGGGCTCTGCTGCTGTGTTTCAATATATGCACAGCAAGCATTACACACACACACGAATAAAATGAAAGCAGGGTTATTGTATCGGCAAAATAAAATCACAGGTCCATCGACTCGTGCGCCTCCTTGGACCGATGTTTTTGCAGTAGCCGTGGTTCTTTTAGCAGGGAGACCCAGGAACTAGTTTTTGACTCCTGTATTTAATCCGGTAAGGCCCGCTACTGAGCTACGTAGCTCTTTTTCAGAAGCGACATATCACAAATGATAGCAGATCAACGAAGTGGCGTATCGTCACGTGGAAATTTATAGCAGCCATAGACTTGAAACGCATGACGTTGATTCTAAATGTGGAGGCGAAAAAACCAGAGGACCCCGAGAGATTTCCACGTGACCACGGGGAGAGAGACACACAAACTTCAAATATAGAGCAGCCGTCAGGGTTGGGATTGAACCCACCACCTCTGGTATAGCAGGCGAGGGAGTTAACATCTATCCACCGTGGCGCCCATCAGCAGGATGTGGCTACTAAAGGAGCACTCCCAAGAGCGCGACGGGTCGAAAACCGCGATGGGTCGGCAACCGTGGCATTCGCATGCGTTGCGGCTCTTGAAATAGAGTTGATCTACGATTATCCGGCTGCTTCCAACATTATCTGGCGGTCCTGGGCCAATTCGGCAAAGCCGCTCCAAAGGCTGTAACCAGTCCAGCGACCGGCACCACGTGTGCGTGGCAAAATAAGTAGCTACGATTGATTTCAGTGTAGAATATTACATACGGTACGTTATACACTAACATCATTGACATGCTGCACCCACATCTCCCCCTCAAGGTCCCTAAGATCTGGGGATGCAGATCTTCTATGAATTTCCAGGTCAAAGTTTTGGTCTATGGGTGACCGAGCTTTTTCACGTGTAGCCCCCAGGCTATAAACGCTCTTCCATGAGATATCAGAATCTCTTAGTGTGGCCTTTTTTTTTATTGCGCCTTAAAAGCTATTTATATTTCGATTTAAAGCTTTTGTGACTGCAGGGATTCATCTTCTTGGTTCTTTCGGTAAAGTCACGTAGAAGGGAAATAATAAAAAATAAAACATAAATATTTTATTATTATAAAACCAAGAAGAGCTATTTATGCGCTTACGGTTATTAAACTTTAGTTAATTTAGTAAATTATTCTAAACATGTATTAGTAATATAATTATTTTTTATGTTGAGTGTCTGCCGCTGCTGTGTCCTTGATGAAAAGCCGCTATGTAGATGTAATCATTATACAACTCAATGAAAATACTGCACGTATTAATGCATTATTCGTGACTTACATACGTATCTACCCCTCATCAGTGCTTACCAAGGCCGTAGCCATGGAGTCAACATTGGGGGACGAAATCTTCCAGGGGGTCTGGGGGTCCCAACCCAGAAAAAAAAAAAAATCTAAATTCGAAAACTAATTTCCTGCCTGAAATATTTAAAAATTCACTAACACATGGGATGGACTTTTTATTTATTACAATAATGTCTAATAGTGTATTGTATTACATTGCTCTGTTTTAACTTTTTTACCATTTCTTGTTTCATTGTATGTAATGTTTGAGATTAGGGATGAATAAAGTACAACCATAATCATATAAACAGAAATCTATGCATTGATTTATATCAAGACAAGTCCAGATATTGTGGCCAAGGTTTAGCAAATTGTTGTTTTTATTTACATAGCATAGCAATTATTACTTTTTATTATTATTATAGCAATATATTGGGGGGACATTTTGAGCATATTTTAATATTTTGGGGGGGGGGGATATGTTCCCCCCCAAAAATATTATAATTACGGCCTTGGTGCCGACCTTATAACAGACCAATTCAGACATTATACTCTTAGGTTTTTCGTTAAAGTCACGTAGGTAAAAAATTAACAACATTTAATTGAAATAATAATAGAAATAAAATAATAAATCACGACGAATGTAATACAATACACATTTGCTTAAGACAGTAAATCTAGCCGAGACAGTAAATCTAGCTGTGACGGTCCCACCTGATGACGGAGACTTGTGTTGCCTCTGAAACGTCGTGATTTATTATTTTATTTCTATTATTATTTCAATAAACTTTGATTATTTATTTTTTACCTACGTGACTTTACCGAAAGAACCAAAGAGTATGGATCCATGCAATCACGAAAACTTCAAATCTAGGAATAAAGTAGTTTAGCTGAGATTGCGGGTGACGTCATGAACGCCCTTCAACAAACAAAAAAAATCACGTTCGTCGACGTCATCGCGCGAGTCTGAATCACGCGCGCGCGCGTGACGTCATTGCCATAGGCGGTGACGTCACGCGGCCCAGGCAAAGAAGGAGTTGGCGCCTCGCGTCTGCCAGGGAGGAGAAAAAAACCCCAAAAAACGGTGAGGATCACGGACAGAAAGACACACAGAGAGAGACACACACACAGAGAGAGAGAGACACAGAGAGAGACACTCACAGAGAGAGACACTCACAGAGAGACTCGGCAAGCAGAGACGAGGGTTCTGCAGACTCGTGGACTTGCCTGGCGACATGAGGCCTAGTTTTTCGTGTTTCTCGGGACGCCTGTGCTGATATTGTTGTTATCGTTGACGAAGAATAATGGACTTCATCTTCATCAACCCAGTTGTTATACCTGCCGCCGCCGCCGCCGCTGCTGCTGCTGTTCAATAATAATTGAATTAGTATGTATCGCAAGTTGTCATATCCGTCCACCCATAACTGTTTATACCCCCTTATTCTTGTACGGGGAAAATTGAGTTTTTCTCCCTTGTGATGGGACTTTGTAGAATGAACGTTGAGATTTATAAGAGGCACGGGGTGACCAATAAGGTCTGAAAAATTGGTCTGGAATAAGATAGGCACTGATGAGGGGTTGACAGGTTTGCTATACACTACACCACTATACACTACACTATACACTACACTACTATACACTACACTATACCATACCTGTCAAACAATATGGTTTACCCTGTATTCCTGCACATGGAAATTGAGTTTTTTTTAGGTCCATACGCCGTACGGCCGTTTCGGTACGAGAAAAAAAAACTGTTCCATTTATTTGTGTTTTTCTCTTGTGATGGGACTTTGTAGAATGAACGTTTAGATTTATAAGCGGCACGGGGTGACCAATAAGGTCTGAAAAATTGGTCTGGAATAAGGTAGGCACTGATAAGGGGTTGACAGGTATGCATTTGTCACTCCGCTGCTAGGTGAAATTAATACCTCGGGTTTTATTTTTGGCCCTGAAGGATGGGGATGGTTTAGTTTGTTGTATCTGTACGCGTGGTGGCTGATTCGTTTGTCTTGCTTGTACTTGGCACTCCCATCGTGTTTGCGAGTATTGTTGTTGTAAAGTTCTGACCCCATGGCTCCCTTACTGTGAGACAACAAATAGCTTCATAGATCATCGGATTCCTCCTGATTCTGAATGTCTACCCCACCCACTCCACCTCTTTCATCTCTCCCACTCGCCATGCCGTGTCGCTCAAGGGTTGTTGTTAGCCCAGGGACCGGCAACCAAAATAACGAGACATTTTTCGCTTTAAGAATTGGGTAACAACAATTCAATATTTAAATGCACTGCTAGGACCAGCAGCAGTCTACAGCAGAGTCTCCAGCAGAGTCTCTAACCACTTCTCAGAGAGTGAGTGACTAACAGCATGTCCACAGCACACATAAATAGCTGTTTTTCATAAGCAACATGGCTATCATAATTGATAGCTCAACGAAGTGGCTTATGGTGTGGACATTTATTGCAACCAAATACTTTTGAATGTGTGATGTTGATTCTGAATGTGGAGGGAAAAACCAGGGGACCTGGAGAAAAATCCATGCGACCACAGGAAGAACATACTAACTCAAAATATACAGCAGGCTTTCTGCCAGGATAGAACCCACGACCTGTATACCAGGCGAGATAGTTAGCATCTAGCCACTGTGGCGCCCCTAAACTATTTAACATGTCCTCTGGGCCCGATGCCATTTCGCCTTTTTTTACTACACAGTTCAAAGAAGCCTTTCGTGGCTGTACAAGTAGAATTTGCATCTGGTACAGGTGCAGTACCTGTACCAGATGGAAGAGTAACTCCCCACTGATAAATCATTGATGTATGCTGTGGACATGGTGTTAGTTGCTCACTCTCTGAGAAGTGGTTGGATACTGCTGTAGACTGCTGCTGATCCTATCAGCCCCGATTGTATTGGACAAAAAATTGCAGACGAATGACAAGCATTTATTAAAATACTGTTATGAATTGTGCATGTGTGTGTGTGTGTCTGTGGGGAGCGGTAGTGTAGCGGTTAGCACTACACCGTGATGAACCCGCCAACCTGAGTTCGATTCCCACTCATGGCCATCACCAGTGACGATTATCAGAACCGGTCCTGGGTCTCCTGGAGGTCGACTCAGCCTTAAATTAGTGCCTGGTGCTGTGTGTAAAGATGGCCACTGGCGAGACATAGACGGCCGGGCGTGGTGTTGTCCACCTACCCGCTCATGTGCCGCGCCGTCCTAAATGGGTGCTCGCTAACAGCACATGCCCCAACTGTCTGTTAAAGGCTTCATGGAAGATATTTTTTCCTTTGTGTGTCTGTGTGCCGAGACAGGAAAGATGAAAGAAGAGACGAGGATCTCGTGTCCTGTGTGCGGCTTGGTGCTGGTGAGCCAGCCTGTCCTCGAGGACCACATCAAGCAACACGGCAGGTGGTCCAAACCCGCGATGCACCAGTGCGAGGAGTGCCTGTATAGCACCGACAACCAGAGCAGACTCAACATCCACCTGAGGATCCACACGGGTGAGAAGCCGTACGTGTGCACCGTCTGCGACAAAGCGTTCACGCAGTCGGGGGCGCTGCACAACCACCAGAGGACGCACACGGGCGAGAAGCCCTACAAGTGCACCATGTGCGGCAAGGCGTTCACTCAGCTCGGAGCGCTGAACAACCACCTGAGAACCCACACGGGCGAAAAGCCCTACAAGTGCACCGTGTGCGGCAAGGCGTTCACCCAGTCGGGCGCCCTTCGTAACCACCAAAGGACGCACACGGGCGAGAAGCCCTACAAGTGTTCGGTGTGCGAGAAGGCGTTCACCCAGTCGGGGGCGCTCCACAACCACCAGAGGACCCACACGGGTGAGAAGCCCTACAAGTGTTCGGTTTGTGGCAAGGCCTTCACGCAGTCGGGGGCCCTGCACAGCCACCACAGGACCCACACGGGAGAGAAGCCTTTCAAGTGCTGTATGTGCGGCAAGGCATTCACCCAGTCCGAAAACCTGCACAAGCATCAAATCACCCACACCAGTCTCCTGTTCACGACCTTAAACTTCACAACTCACGCAATCAAGAATTAGGTTAAAAAAAATTACAAGCCGTGAAGGGGGCACGTGACAATTATTTGAGATTTAAAACAAATTATAGTTCGAGATCTAATAATAGGAAGGAAATTCGTCTCGTCAAGAAATTCAACGTGACAGTTAAAGCAGAGGTTGGGCATCTTCAAGCTCTGACATTTGGAAGGAAAACATAAAAGGCGACATTTAATATTTTCGGGAAGGAGAAATATGTTATCGGAACGTTTCTGAATGTTTTCCAAGAACGCGGGAATGTTGCAACCAAGAATTGTATTGAATGGCCCGATGATGCAGACTGGAGACCCGGAGTAAACATTCTCAGGTTTGGTTTGCGAACTTTGCTCGATGTTTCACCAAACCTTGAATTAACGAGGCAGATGGGTAGGGCCCCAGCTTGGAGCAATTCTTCCAGCTTAGTTTTGGCTAAAACAAAGTGGCGGCAACCGACATCTCGATTGAAACGCACCTATTGTGGAAAGCATTTGCTGTCGATTTCAATTCAAAATTATTACTCACGTGATGGGATTCTGCACGAACAGCGCACATACCATGCTGGCCATTGGAGCATGTGATTGCCTCTTTTTAACTGACAAGTTGTGTTTCCCATTTTTTTAAACACTTATTGGGAAAACCTTAAAAAGTCTACATCTTTGACACTCGTAACTGGCTGGCGATGAGAATTTCATAAGGCACAGCCTTAGTTTCCTTTCCGCTGTTTGATGCCAAATAGCGGTAATCCTTGCAGGTGCGTGGAGTCTTTTGGGAACACAGACATCGCAAATAGTTGCGATCGATGGGCGTCGATTCACGTGGCCATGTGGACCGCTGACAGAGGAAGGACTATGAGGATTCTCCAACGTCCTTACCCGCACCGAGTCGGAAGACTAATTTCGCAGGAGGGTCTTGCTGTGGGAGGAAACGGGGGAAAACCCACCTGTACAAGAGGTGAATGCTCAAACTTCAGAGAACACATGCTCAAGAGGATGTGAAAATTCGGCAGACGATTTCAATCTTGCAAGACGTCTCCACAGCAGTGTCTCTCTGCTTAAACGTTTTACGGGATAGCACTCGGCTCCATTTGAGTGACTATCTTAACAATGACCAGAGTGCTGGGCGGCTAAGTTGGCACAGTCGGAACTGGAGTGTCTCCCGTTGTCTTTGTCTCCCCGCTATCGCCCTTCACTCTTTCTTCCTCGCACAGTCGATGGAAAGTCCACATAGGGTCAATCACTGTTGAGTTCCCACACAGTAATAATTTTGTTATCTCTGGAAGCACGCGACGGACTGCGCTTGTTTTCCGGTCGGGAATTGACCTTAGGAGTTTAGTGAGTATGAGTTACATAGCTCAGTGGGCCTTACACCTGGTAAAATAAACATAGAGTATGAGTTACACTATGTTTATTTTACCATGTGTAAGGCCCACTGAGCTATGTAGTTCTTTTTCAGAAGCGACCTGGCCACAAATGATAGTGCAACGAAGTGGGCTTATCACGTTGAAATTTATGGCAGCAGCCAAATATTCTTAACGCACATTTTTTAATGTGCAAGGAAAAACCGGAGTGCCCGGAGCAAAATCCACACGGCTACGGAAAGAACATATACAGGCGTCAGGGTTAGGATCTAATCCATGACCTCCTGTATACCAGGCGAGGTAGTAACATCTCGTCACCAGGCCAGTGCAAGAAGTGAGTTGCAGACAGTCTGGATAAAGATTAAAACCCGGGGTTAATATGCATAGCTAAGCAGTCACCTGGGCATGAAACCAATGTAGAACAAAATAGGTGTTTGGAGGATGCAGTGGCTGCATTCCGTGGGCACTGATCAATCATAATTTGTTGAACCGAATGGGCAGAACAGACTGCAAGGCAAACGATATATACGCGTGAACACTGGGCAGGATGATTAAATTCAACTCCTGAATTTGCCTAAAGCAGTGCATGGCTAGAATCAGTTCTGACAACCACGGTGGATTTCCAAATCGAATCGCAACATCAACAAATCCTGATGCTTTATCAAAATCGTAACCTGGTGGGGGCTGGCAGGGTAGCCGTGGCGGGATGATTACACGTCTAGTTTATACTGCGGAGAAAACCCACGGGAAAGAGACAATTTCTTGGAGAAAGTCTTGAGTGGCAGAGAATCACTCTGCGATGGTAGAGAAAAGCCACTCGTGGAAAGAGAGTACCCAAGACGTTCGAGAACACCCATGTGCGTGCATGTATCTTGAGAGAAGGACTGTTGAGCTCCTGACAAACTCTTAATGGGCTAGGAGACGCTCACAATCTACGGAGGAATTGCAGTGAATTTCCTCAACAGAGTGCGTAGACGTGTCGTATGGGCAATACCTGATGCGGAAACCCCAGAGAGAGTGAGCCCCTGGCCTGTCACAGACGAGACCTTTCTCGGCTCTCTCCACCAAGCAATCGCCAAATTCAAATCCACCGCCTTCTGTAAATGGATGAGGATGGGTCGGGGTGGAAAAAAATTAGTGCAGCAGGCTGGAGACAAATGGGTTTCCCCAGAGCTCAAGGCACTGGTGAACTTTGATGACTGCAGCAGTGATGAGCCTTAAGAAGAAAGAAACTGGACTACAGTTGTCCATTTTATCGCTGCCAAATTGGGAGGGCTTCATGTTCAACTCTTCGAGCCACACACTTGGTTAAAAGCCACATGTTTAGCTTTTCAGCTGGCTGGTCTAGACATGGCTGAGAACATAATTCAATGGGGTGGTCACATGACACACCCGCAAGTCGTATTGGGAGTCGCGCCTTCCTGCTTGTTTCGAAAGCACACCTTTGCGCGTCTTTTAAAAACGATCGGATTCTTCTCCAAATTTCTGGAAAAAAACACAATGGCAACCAAACAATTTGGATGTATAAGTACCCTTTGAGTGGGACCGCATGCTGCAAGGAAAACATGTTCATTGAAACAAAAAGAGAGCGGTCACCCTTCCAACAAACCCATGACAGGGCCTGGAAGAGCCTCACCATCACCGTGTAAGAGGTGAACACTGGAGTGCTTCTTGACATATGGAAGAAGAGCTCGGAGATCCTGGAGAAATCACCAGCGCGCAAGAGGAAACAACAAACACTGGTGGAGGAAAACCCACACGGACGAGAGGATGCCTGAGCCGTAGCGGATTTGCACACCCCACCCCACGGTGTAGAGGTTCGTGGTTTGAACCTGCAACCGCCTTGGTTAATACTGTCGACATTAAGCTGAAATCCATGCTGTCGGCTTCACAGTGGACATCGGAGACAACCTGTGACTTAATTCGAAAAAGAGCAGGCCACGTGTGTGTGTGCCAGCGTCACGATCCAAATTTAGAGCGGTGACTCAACGGTTGACCCAACTGGGCAGAATAAACATGTGGCAGCGGCGCGCCTATTTTACCGGCAGACTTTACTTGTACGCGAAACGCGGCGCCTCCGTGATAGGCCCTCTGTGATGATAAATTGGCGCGAAATACCAAATGTGATGACGATCGGTTAAATTACACTCTCGCTCTGGCACCGGAGCTAATGCAGCAAAGTCTAGATTTGTGGTCGCGCATGGAGACGTGTGCCATGTCTCGAGATTCCGCAACAAATGTGAGTGTATCGTGTGTGCAGTATATTTTTTACGATGAGGTGCGGCCGGAAACTTCATGGAGAAGTTTGGTCATAGGCAGAAGAGAAGAGAAAATGGGGATGGCAGGAGGAAGCGAGCTCCTGAACCACGGAGGGGGAATTCTAGGTCCATGAGGTCAACAGAAGAGAAGGAGCGCCCATTCCCTTTGAAAAGAGACTGACTTTAGGTGTTAACGGAACATTCACAACTCCGGGGGAAGATAGACCTGCCGAGCTCCTGGGTAGGAATTGAAGCAAGCTGCCCGTGATAACACTGGTTTTCTCAAGTGTTAGTGAGTGGATAGTCTCAACCTGGTGACCTATGAGCGCACAAAAAAAACCGCAAGAACATTAAGTGAGTTGACTGAATTCCAGCTTCCCGGTCAGTGAAAATATTGGTTTGGCTGGAATGCGACAAACATTCTCAGTGGCAAAGCAGGTGGGAAAGTGCTGTCGCCAAATTGTTTGGATCAGATGTCATTTGAATGGATTTCATGAGGTAGCTCTGTTATATCCGCTTCTGTGGGCTGGAAGCAGGAGTCACGTGAAGGGTTTTTACTGGCAACTGTGAGAGACGATCTGCGTGCGTGGATTATTTCGTCTCACGATGCCGATGGCATCCGATCGGGATGAACTGGGGGGTCGGAAAAGACTTAAAAAAAAATGAAAGGCCGGCATAATAGAAGAGGGCACTTGCACCCTTGGGTGAATGCCGCGTATGATTACATTTTCTTCAGTTTTTACTGAAAACATCGACAACCGTGGAATCCCGTTCCAAGATCAGCGTGCGTGTAAAGAGCGTCCTCTCGTTAACCGCGCGATAAACCTTTGTGAAGCACGTGCCACGTGGCAGCACGTGGCAGCACGCGCCGGCGTGAAATCTGTTCCATTGTAGACCTGAGCTCTTCACAGCCACACAAGGTGGCTTTTTCTTTCACTGGTAACAAGACACAAAGGAAGCCCAGCGCCAGGGCTCAAACCTAGGTTCTCAACAGTGAGCGCCTTGATGTTGTATGACGGACATCATTTTAGCAATTCATCTTATCTCATATAGAGTATGTATATATAATTCAATACAGTATAATATCACAAAGTGTGTTGTGCTATGCTTGCAGTATAATCACTTGCTAGACTCGAATTGAGCAGTGTCCTGCATTGGGTTGTTTGGCCAAAATCCTCTTTGCAAGATTGTTTTTGCATCTGGAATTACACCCGAAGTGGCCACATAGAAGAACCAATTGTAAACCTGAGAAGTCCCACACGTGGAGACATCTCTTACGGAGGGGGGGCGTACAGACGAGCCTGCGGGAAAACCTGTCTCGTTGCTCCGCCAATGCAGATTAATCTAGGGCTCTTATATGGTTGAAAGCAACTCCTGGTGGTGCCACATCTGGGACAGATGACGCATCATGGACAATGAACAAAGCTCGTGGGAGACTGCACCCCAATGCTACTGGCAGAACGTATTGCTAGTAGGGAGACTGGTGATGGAGCTGTATATTTGCGCGTGTGTGTATGTGTGTGCGTATGCAGTTGAGCTGTAGTATAGTGGTTTGTGCTTTACTATGAACCCAGTAGCTATAGAGTAAGATTCTCGGCCACAGCTAACGCACAGTGTCCTAAAAGTGCCCTGCGTTCAGGAAGACTTGAACACAGTTTGACCAGGTGTAAGGCCCAGGACTATGCAACGTAGTAGCTCTTTTTAAGAAGCGACCTGGCTATCACAAATGATAGCTCGCAAAGTGGCTTATCATGTGTAAATGTATAGCAACTAAATACTCTGAACGCATGATGTTTATTCTCAATGTGGAGGGAAAAATCGGAGGAGCCAGAGAAAAATCCACGCGATCACTGGGAGAGAGACACGCAAACTTCAAATATACAGCAAGCGTCAGGGTCGGGATCGAACTCACGACCTGCATACCAGGCGAGGGAGTTAACATCGAGCCACGTCCGGATGACCACACCAGTCAATCCAGACCTATCGAAGAGGGTGCCCAGGACCGGTTTAGATATCGCTTGGCACGGATGTGATGTGGTAAGCCTTGGCCGTGAATCGAACTCGGGTGACCAGGTTCGTAGTGCAGTGAAGCTATCGTGCCGCTGTATTCGCTCTGTGTTGCCGTATGTTGAACTTCTTTCGCACCGTATGTAGCCAAACATGCTCATCGAAGGTGCGGGGGAAGGATGAATTCGCTCGTTTGAAACATTATAATGTTCAGTAAACTCTTAAGTGAGAGGGCAGACAATCGGGGTTAGGGTTGAGCATAGAGGGTGGGTCCTAAGCTGAAGTTCTTGTCACGTACTACCCACGTGACCCTGCGTCACGTTCCACACCAGTGGTGTGAACACGGACAGGTTACAACGTAAGGGCACGTGGAGTTCACTCGAAGCAAGTTAAAACCAGTATCCAGTGTAACCCACCCACCCTTGCTCCCTGGTATTGCACGTGTGTATAGTTCATCGTGGGGGGGGGGGGCATGAACCCGCTGTTGTGTGTGCGGTGTGGTTAAAAACTAAACTTTTATTATTTTACCAGGTAAGGCCCACTACTGAGCTATGTAGCTCCTTTTCAGAAGCTACCTGGCCACAAATTATAGCCCAACGGAGTGGCTTTTTGTGTGGACCTTTATAGCAGCCAAATACTCTCAATGCATGTTCTAGATGTGGAGGGGAAACCCGGAGGTCCCGGAGAAAAATACACACGACCACGGGGAGAATATGCCAACTCAAAATGTACAGGTGTCAGGGTCGGGATGGAACCCACGACCTCCTGCATACCGGACGAGGTGATTAACATTTTGCCACCGTCACATCCACAGACATATGTTGTGATTTGCGTTCGTATTTCATTCGTGTTCTGAGTTCTTTGTCTTTCTATCGTTTGTCCAAAATGAATGTGTGGGCGCCATGAAAAATAGCTCGGCTGTCAACTCTCTCCACATTCGCTTGCCCTCCGCAGCCTTTGGCCGGTCGATTTTATTTGTTTGACGCGGGTAAATAAATATTCGGCCTTCAGCTTCTTTTACCAGAATGACCCGCCGGAGGACCTCGATGGAATAAATATATTATATATGTAAAGTTACAGCAGCTTATAACTCGTAACGTTGCAGACACTTGAGCATAGCAAACACATTGGAGGAAAACAACGTTCAAGTAAAACTGGAAGATGATGCACATCATCAACACTCCGATTAGCATGTTTGGCTCCGTACGGTGTGAAAGAAGGTCTTCAGCACCAAGTCCGTGAACTGCACGTGCAGGAATGCAGTGCATGATCAGAAATATAACACCAAATTGTGCGAATTTCGCTCACCGGATGTGCAAGACAAGTGGATATCTTAAATTAAGGAAATATATTTTTTAAAAGGCCCATTGTACTGTCGAGTAGTTGTCTCTGTAATCACGTTTGTCATCTTCTGCATTTTTGTTCCCTTCACACCCTGTGAGGTGATTGTGTAGTTGCCTTTTATTGCCACGTGACCAAACCATTGCAGATTCATTGTATCATTATTCAGAGCTGTCAACGGTGGTCTGTGAAGCTCACCGTTCTAACGTTTCGCAAAAAAAATTCAACAGTTTTGCAGGGCCCCTTGTACCACCGTGCAGTGGTATGTATTCGCTGGTGGTGTGGTTATTGCCCCTGGAGGAAATTGCACGTTACCATGACGAGCATTTGTCTATCTAATTTGTACAGCTGTGGCAGGTGTTATTTATTTTACACATCCTGGAAAGATGATGGTGGGAGTGCTGATGACTTTTGTGATGTTTGTGGTTATGATGATGATTATGGTGGTGATATCATGAGGGTGGGAATAATGGTAATTTTAGTGGTGGTGATAGTATAATGCTAGTGGTGTTGATTATGTTATCGGTAAATCAACCACGGCTGCGATTTCAACTCGCACTCACAGAAGCGACTTCTCGTCCGTATTTTGTGGTCAAAAGTGCACTTTATTTTACTTGACCACTCGCAGGAGCCCACGTGTAGGCGTTTGCTCATAGAAATCCGTCTCGGGAGGCGTGTGTGTTGAACTTCTTTCGCACCGTACGTAGCCAATCACTAATCGGAGGTGCGGGTGTGCTGGAGGGGCCTGGTTGTGATGTTCCAGCCAATAACGTCTGTACGATATTCTGACGTCAGAGGGCCAGTGAGTGGAGAGGTTGCACTCGCCAATTCCCATCACCCCTGTGTGCATGTATGTACGTATGTTGAACTTCTTTCATGCCTTACGTAGCCAACAGTGCTAATTGGAGGTGCGGGGGTAAGTACAAAAAACAACACAACAACAAGCAGTTCTAAAGAAATTAGTTTTTCAATCCAGATTTAAAAGTGCATAGCTCCAGTGAATTACTAATATCGGAAGGAAGAGCATTCCAGACGGCCATAGAAGCAGTGCATCTGAAAGCATGCAATGCAGTGACCACATTTATTCGATGGCCAGCCAAAAATCGCTGCTGCTGCTGCTGCTGCTGCAAGGATAACTGGAGTTAGTGTCATGGTTTATGCTCCTTTTGTGGTTCATTTGTGGCAAGCATTTGGCGTGTGTAATGAGTGCGACCCTATAATGGCATTATCCAGCAACGGTGTTAAATAAGTTAAGCATGCGTACACCCTCTCAGTCGCGTGCTGTGTGTGGATGGCCGTATTAATAGGGGTTCGCTAACAGCACTTGCTCCAACGAGTCTTTAACAAGTCGAGTTGGGCCCAATTGTGTATTATTAGCAGAGAATGGGCCAAATTGCTGCCTAATCAAAGAATTGTTGAATTTGCCAAAAAGAAAAACTGCGTGGGCTTGAGAATAACGATTTTAAAGTTACAAAAACGAAGTTTTACGGAAGTGGTTCATAATGACTGTCACAGAACTGAGGGTGAACCACTGATATTTTGGGGTTATGAGTTATCTCACCGTGTCACCGAGTGTAGTACGTTTGGTTATCTTAGTCCAGTCACCGTTGAAAGCGACGCTTTCAGCGCTTCTGAAAGCGATGCGCGATGTGTTGACCATCTTATTTTCAATGGTTAGATACCACAGGAATACTACACGAAAATACTTCCAATGACCTCTTGTCTCACGCTTAGCCACACGTCCTGTCACGGATAACTGTACGTCGCAGTTAAATATGTTCAACGTTCATGGTTGGAATATTGCCAATTTTCAAGTAAAGAAAGGTTTACTTGCGAACAGGCCTCTTAAGTACGAATGGATCTACTTGACTACAATTATGGCCAAATTGGGTTACCGCCCTAGTTGTAACTTTCTGACCCTGTGCCCCTATAGGCCATAAAGAGCTTCATAGCTCATCAGATTCCTCCTGCAGTATAAATATTATTCTGTTTTCTAAAGCAGTTTATGCACCAATGTTACATTTAGTAACGACCATATTTTAGGGGTGGAATGGTAACAGATTCATCACCGATGAATATGGATTCGCAAGCTCACTATACGTGCATCAAAGTGCGTGTTTAAGTATCGGTGTGTTTTTATTTATGCATGCTGTGTCAATGGCTCCATGCTCCGCATACAACCACTGGAGGCGCTTTTCTTTCACCCTCTGCGATGCTTAAAACATTAATGAATGGAATCAATGTTTTCAAATGTACATGTCATTATATGAACCTTACGGGGGTACCATAGCACCCCGGCTTTCGCATAATGTCCACGATGCAGTCATTTTTAGTCTGTTGATGGTCGGCGATGCGGCAATCGACTCATCTCGACGAGCTGTACACGGAGTAGCACCGATCTCGGATTGATTGGTACCCCAGTCGCGGAGTTAAGTACATCCCTGGAAAAAAAATTCCCAGAAATAAAATATTTAATTTGTACCCCGGGGTACCGCCATAAGGATCATATCTTGGACTGTTGCACGAGGTGAGTAGCCAACGGTATGTAGTGGTGGTCGTGGTGAGCGGTAGTGCAGCGATTATCAGCTGCCCTACGAACCCGGTTACCCGAGTTCGATTCCCGCTTGCGACAACACCAGTGACGATTATTTAAACCGGTCCTGGGCCTCCCCTAGGAAGACTCCGCCTCAAATGAGTACCTGGTGTAGTGTGTAAACATTGCCACTGGGGAGACGAAGGCGGTCGGGCGTGCTGCTGTTTGCTAACAGCACTTTTCCCAACAGTGAGGCTATACGGGGGGGATCTTTATCTGTGGTGTTGGCATTGTGGGATTATTCTTGGCTCTTGTTAAAGAGGCAGGCACCACACTCGGGATGGAAAGGCGAGTCGTGAGAGACGGTTGAGAGGTGGTTTTGTCGGGTTCACGAAATTGCGAATTTTTTTATCTCGTTGGCAAGTAAGAGACATTTTATCGACTTATTTTTTAACTATATTTTTTGTGGTGTTATCTGTATTCACGCCAGCACATTGCATGCGTTGGTTTCTTAACTTGTATGTTGTGGAAACAAATATATATATAAGCCAGCTTATATTACCGTGATAACCAAGATAAAATAAAGTAGCTTTAAAATTGGCCTGTGTTTGCTTGAATGTTGTTCTGAGCATAACCTTTCTGGGATGCAAATCTCAGTTATATTAAATATGTACATATCTATGTTTAACTTCTTTAGCACTACATACAGTGAGGGAAAAAAGTATTTGATCCCCTGCTGATTTTGTACGTTTGCCCACTGACAAAGAAATTATCAGTCTATAATTTTAATGGTAGGTTTATTTGAACAGAATAACAACAAAATGCAGAAAAACGCATGTCAAAAATGCTATAAATTGATTTGCATTTTAATGAGGGAAATAAGTATTTGACACCCTCTCAATCAGAAAGATTTCTGGCTCCCAGGTGCCTTTTATACAGGTAACGAGCTGAGATTAGGAGCACAGTCAAACCGGCCTGGGTTCAGACAGCAGCCTGGGTTCAAACACAGCGGCCTGGGTTCAAACAGCAGCCTGGGTTCAAACAGCAGCCTGGGTTCAAACACAGGTTTAAATTAGTGTTTTATTTTTGAGTGTCTTTCCTTGACTATGTAGATACAGTGATACCTCGGTTCACGAACTTAATTCGTGAAATGACTCTGGTCGTGAACCGAATTGGTCGTGAACCGAGGCACATTTTCCCATAGGGTTAAATGTAAATCCGGTTAATCCGTTCTGACCTTTTTTTTTGGTTTTTGAAGCACAAAAATATGAAACAAATGACAATACACATTACTGTAACACTGTACAGTATAGTAATGTATAAAGAGATAACTCTAACCTTGCTTGAGATGACTTCTGGCATGGAGGAAGGCAGGTGGGAGGCGGGTGGGAGGCGGTTATTGTTTGGAGGGAGAGTCCCCCCTCCATAAGGACATCAGGGGGATCTCCTTCAGGGGTTTCCTCTCTCCTTTGTCTCCTAGCTGCAGGCTCAGTTTTGCTGAAAAATCTGTCCAATGTCACTTGTCTCTTCCTGCGCTGCATAACCCTCCGGAATTGAGAGACCACATTATCATTCATGAGATTTAACACTCTGTTCGTGACAGCTATGTTGGGGTGGTGCTTTTCAAAAAAGTCATGGCACTCATTCCATTTTTGCATAATGGATTTTATGGCATCACTGCTAACCTCCCTTTCTTCCTCAGTGGAATGCTCCTCAAGAAGTGCCTTCTGTTGCTCACTGTGGAGTTCAGAAAGTTCTTTCGTGGTCAGCTCCTCCCTATGTTCCTCAACAAGCTCTTCCACATCAGCACAATCAACGTCCAGACCCATACTCTTGCCCATGGACACAATTTCCTCCACTACCTCTGCATCAGACCCTTATAAGTCATGTTCACGTTCAGTGACACATTCTGGCCACAGTTTCCTCCAGGCTGAATTTAGGGTTCGGGGAGTGACCTCTTCCCAGGCTTTGTCAATGAGGTTAATGCAGTGGACAACATTGAAATGTTTCTTCCAGAAGTCTTTCAAAGTCAAGGATGTCTCTTCAGTGACATTAAAACACCTAGTGAAGAGCGCCTTTGTGTACAGCTTCTTGAAGTTGCAGATGACTTGCTGGTCCATGGGCTGCAGAAGTGGTGTTGTGTTGGGGGGGAGGAACTTTACCTTGACGAAGTCATACTCAGCATCCATATCATCCACCAAGGCTGGAGGGTGTGCCGGGGCATTGTCCATCAGAAGAAGGCACCTTTCAGGCAGTTGGTTATCAGAAAGATAATTTCTGACGGGTGCGAACACCTCGTGCAGCCATTCCATAAACAATTGCCTTGTGACCCAAGCTTTGGCATTGGCTCTCCACATGACGGGCAGTCTGGCCTTGTTCACATTTTGTTCCCTAAATGCACGAGGGGTCTGAGAATGGTACACCAGTAGTGGTTTAATTTTCAGATCGGCGCTTGCGTTGGCACACAGCAAAAGGGTCAATCTGTCCTTCATGGGCTTGTGCCCTGGTAGTGTCTTTTCCTCCTGCGTGATATAGGTTCTGTTCGGCATTTTTTTCCAGAAGAGCCCTGTTTCATCACAGTTGAACACTTGTTGAGCGACGTATCCTGTCTTCATGAATTCCGCAAATTCTAACTTGTAGGCTTCTGCTGCGGCCTTGTCAGAACTGGAAGCATCACCATGTCTAATCACACTGTGGATGCCACTTCTCCTGCGGAATTTTTCAAAACCACCCCCTACTGGCTTTAAATTCGTCACTTGCTGCACTTGTAGAGGGGCTTCTTTGCAGTAAATCACTGTGCAGTTTCCTGGCTTTCTCACAGATCATAGCTTCACTAACGCTATCACCTGTCAGCTGTTTCTCATTCAACCACACCAACAAAAGTTTTTCCACCTCTTCCAGCACTTGCGTCCTCTGCTTGGTTAACATTGTTACTCCTTTTGCAACCATCAGCTCCTTTGATGGCGGCTTTGTTTTTCAAAATAGTCGAGATTGTTGACTTTGCCATCTTGTACTCCGAGGCCAGACCAGTCACACGAATACCACTGTTATGCTTTTCTACAATTTCCTTCTTCAGCTCAATGGTTATTTTCTTCACAACCTTGCTGTCACCTTTATTACTGCTCTACACTTTCTTTTTGCCACCATGCTTGCGCTGCACATTCTTGTCACCTGCATTTCCACTTTTCACATTGTCACTTGCATTTGCACTTTGCACATTGTCACCTGCATTGCTGTTCTTGTCACCTTCATTGCTGCTCCGCACTTTCTTCTTTCCACCATGCTTCTTGGGAGCCATATTGGGAGTCCAGTACAGTAAGCACTCAAACGGGTGAACTGTACAATACAGTAAGTACAGTATTGTACAGTACAGTAGTACAGTACTGTATGTGCTAAAAAGCACACCAAAAATCAAAAAGTCACTGAAAGTGTCTTCACAGTACTCACAGTACAGTACAGTACTTCTTTCTGTGTCTCTGCTTCTCTCCGCGATCTTCCTACAGGAAGTCACGACCATGTGACAGCCTGGAATTAGCATAAAAATGGGCGCGGCTCCTGTTCGTGAACCGAAGCGGAGTTCGTGAACCGAAGCATATTTTTATGAAATTTTCTGGTCGTGAACCGAGTTGTTCGTGAACCAAAGCGTTCGTGAACCGAGGTATCACTGTGTAATGCAGGCGTAAACGACCTTCCGGATGTGACGTCATGAGGGGAGGAGTTACGTCACGTGGGGGAGAGGGGTCAGGTCTATAGGGAGAGAAACCGGAAGAGGAGGGGGAGTGATTGGAGACTAGGAACGAGTGAGGCCACGTAGGGCGGGAGTGGGAGAGTGGCGAGATCGCCACATACACGGGGAACGAGGTTCGGCACCATCGGCCAACGGTGACCGACCCCGGAGCAGCAGGAGCAGCGAGGAGGCTGCAGGTGGCAGCGGGGGTCTGCACACGGAGTTGGCAGCGGGGGTCTGCACACGGAGTTGGCAGCGGGGGTCTGCACACGGAGTTAGCAGCGAGTCTGCAAGGAGAGGAAGGAGGCTACAATAGTGACAGCAGCCTGGGGCTGCAAGCAGAGGGTCTCTAAGAGAATGCCGTGAGGGAAAAGACAAGAACCCAAATAAAGGACACGGAGTCAGAGAGAAGCGTCCGAGTCTTTTATTACACTGGAGTCAGAAGTGTAACGGCATGGCGAAACAACTGAGAAAAAAGAATATTCCGTCTCCGGCATCGGCTTCATCTTCCGACGACGATGATCTTCCTCCTGAAGTCGGCCTGACTCTGGCAGAGGAAGAGATCCGTGCTGGGACGAGGGCGGGTCCGGGGGTCCAAGAGGTCGCCGTGTCGGCGGACCCGTCTGCTCCAAAGGACGCGGATTCAAGATGGAGCCAGATGTCGGAGCAACTTGAAACTCTCAAGAACGTCATTACACAGTTGTGTGAGCTTGTCACGCCGAGGGCGGCGTCGGAAGGAGATGTTGGTGGTCTGCAGGAGTCCGGGTTGTCTTCGCTGTCGCCGCCATCGGCCACGCGGCACGAAGACGCCATCTTGGGCGTGGCGCACGACGAAAAGCGGGAAGCCGCCATTTTGGGACCTCCGCGACGGTCAGCCGCCATCTTGTCGACACCGCGTTGCGACGCCATGTTGAATTTGCCACCGGAGGAGCCAGCGGCTGGAGGGAGCAGGCCAAGGAGTCGCAGTCGTCACCTAACAACTGTCAAGGAATTCTCCATCGGGGGCGATTGGAGTGCGTTCGCCTGTAGATTTCTGGCAGCGGTACGCTCAGCGAGGTGGACGGACGCCGAGGCACTAGAGGTTCTTCCGACTCTTCTCGATGATGAGTCCGTTCGATTTTTTCGCTCTATAAAAGCCGCGAAGAAGAAGACTCTGCGAGGTGTGTTCGACGAAATGGCGGACGCGTACGAGCCGCCGGATGATGCCCATCGCCGGTTTGTGCAACGACAACGCACACCCGAGGAGTCACCGGTGGCGTATAGGGGCGCGGTGTTGGAGCTAGCTATGGCCGCTTACCCGGAGACGGAGCCTGACCTGCTGGAACCTCTCATCCTGGGGAAAATGTTGGAGTTGTCCCGGGATCTCGGCATTCCTATGCCGGTGTGTGGTCATGAGAAGCTCACGTCCCGGGCCGCGGCGAAGTGTCTGGACGCCCAGTTTAACCTTCGCCGCTGGAAACAAGTTACGGCGTGGACAGGTGGTCCTATCGTCGAGGGGGGTGCCGTAGGGTGGGACCCTAAAAAGGCCGTGTACGTGCCGGATGGGAGCAGCCAGCAGGAGCTGTCAGCTGCCTCCGCTCCGTGGCCGGCCCGGGGTGGGCCGGGGCCGCGGGCTGCGCCGCCGATACGGCCGCGTCGGGACGGGGTGCCCGCTGCGCGCCGCAACGACATCGAGTGCTTCCGCTGCGGGCGTCGGGGCCATTATGCCAGGGACTGCTGGGCCCGCGTTCCGGGTCCGCCCCAGCAGGAGGCCTCGACAGCGGACGCTCCCAAGAAAGATTCTACAGCACAGGCAACTCGGTGCGCACCAGACACCCGGCAAGGCTTGACACCTCACTCATCGCCGTTGTCTTGCGAGGCGGATGTTGTTAAT